AGTTTTGAACTCAAGGAAAAACCCAAGAGCACCTTCCATGTCTCCATTCTGACAATAGCTGTTAAGTACTCCACTGACAGTGAATTCATCTGGTGTTAGTCCTTTATCTTGTAAATCATGGTGAAGCTTCAACGTTTCATGGAGTTGACCTACATCTATCAATCAATGAATTGTACATGTGAGTATTCGATCTAAAGATTCTTTAGGGACATTTCCACAAACAACTTCCTCGTATCTTCTAAATGACCTTTTGATGAAGTGTCAATGAGTATTACTGAATGTGATTTAAGGAACTATATAATAGACAGTGAAGTCATAGACAACCATTCAAGAATTGCTGATTAAGGTTATTTTAATTTTTCCTTCACAAAAAGGTCTCTTCTCACATCCATTTTCAAGAGATTTACGTGATAGCAAAATTGAGAATTACATGGACCTATGTTATGGAACTCATGCTGATTATCAATCTGATCAAATTCCAAAAATTTTTGGAGCATTGTCCTAAAACTGTCAAGTGGTTTATTATTGTGCTGCCACTTGGTTTAATGTGGTGCTTCTTCCTCTCCTTGTAATAAATATATAGATCCAGAGGTATTTAAAGGCTCTATATCAGCTTGATTTTATGAATAAAGGATGCAAAAATGCGACCTTACAATGTTTGATTGCTCTTTACTTGTGCTAGAATTTTCAATGGAATTTATGGAGATGATATTGTGGTTCTCTGTGTTGCTCATATTCAGTGTCGGCTGTTGATTTTGATATGAAAATATCTTTTAATAATTTTCTACTTGGTACAAAGAAATAGAAGGGAACTTGGACTTCATTGGAAATTTCAATGAATTTGAGATAAATCATAAACATTTAATGATAGGAATTATCTGAAATCCTGGGATCATAGAGAACCCCCGAAAAAGGAAGAAGGAACTATGAAATAAAAAAGAATGTGTTTCACTCATTTTCAGGTAAGATTTACTACTTTTCTGTGTGCTTGGGGAGGTTATACATACAGATACAAATAACACATTAACCGGGTTGAATTAATGACTTAAGCATCTCTATTAAGGGCCTCTACAAAGGTATAGGTGGCTACTGGGCCACTCAGCCTTGAAGTTGGAAGACCAACTCTAGTGTCAATGGTGGAAAAAACTTGTGTTCGATATAGGTTTCTTGCTATTGGGGTTCCGGTTCCTTTGTTTCCTCCTGGTGACATTTTCTGTCCACATATTTACCTCCCACTGATATTGTTTTCCAGGCTAAGAAGAGAAAGCTTGGATTACTTGAGGATGATGATGTGTCCAAACTGGAAGGTTTGACTTCAACAAAAGAAAAAGAAGTTGGAGGTGGAAGGGTAAATGATGGCTCAGCTTCTTTTGTTAAACAACGAGGTAAGCGGAAGTTTTTTCTTTATGTTCGTTACTTCGTTATTTGTAGGTCGGCAAAGGAAGTGGTAGTGAAATTAGAGGGTTTGCTCCTTTTTTCTTTCTTCGGTCTTGATGCTTGATTTTATGATGTAGATAACTCTGAAAGGGCTTTCTACAAGGAGTTGGTCAAAGTAATTGATGCTTCGGATGTAATTTTGGAAGTGCTTGATGCTCGAGATCCTCTTGGTACCCGCTGTCTTGACATGGAAAAGATGGTGATGAGAGCAGGACCTGAGAAACATCTTGTGTTACTCCTTAATAAAATTGGTATTTTCTTTGTTCTATATTTTTTGGCATTATCTTGCATCTGCTTGGGTTTTCTTTTCTTTTAGGATATGCTTATCACCGATAGCTACAGTGATATACCCTGTGTCTTATAGACTTATACTATGTCATTCAGAAAGTAAAAGGTTGTTGGTTGGAGTTTAATCATAATAGCACAAAGACGTGGATATTGGAAATGATGTGTGAATATATAAAGTGATCTCCATATCTAAATATAATGTGCACGTGTATGTGTCTCAGCTTCAGCCTTTTGATATAGGTCACTAACCTAAATATTTTTTGGTTCTGGAAATGTTGCATCAGATTGCTAGATTATTGATGGTTCATACAATGTTCTGTAGAGAAACTTCGAAGGGGTACTTTTATGCTGTTACTTGGATTAGATCTTTTACTTCTCAATTATTTTCTCCAGATCTTGTTCCTCGGGAAGCTGCAGAAAAGTGGCTAAAGTATTTAAGAGAGGAATTACCAACGGTTGCTTTCAAGTGTAGCACCCAAGAGCAGAAGTCAAACCTGGGTTGGAAGCCTTCCTCAAAGGCTGGTAAGAGTAAGACTAGCAATCTTCTGCAAACCAGTGATTGCCTTGGCGCCGAGACACTGATAAAATTGCTGAAGAATTACTCACGAAGCCACGAGGTACTTCCAGGATCATCTTTATGGGGTTCTCTCTCTAGCTTGTGTTGCAGTTGAGTTTTGGAATATGCCTTTCAACTTCAACTTGTATATTTTTTTTGAACAAAGTGCTAGTAACCAATGGGTTAGATTGTTTTCCATGTTTGGGACATCAAAATTCTAATGGATAGAGCCAGGTGGAATTTAAAATCTACAGTAGCTTGACATGATAATCCCATTTCTCAAATCGTCTCTTACACTTTGGACATTTTCAAGTCTCTTATCTCTATCAGTTGTGTGTGTGTGTTGGGTGTTTCTGAATGTGTTATAAAGGGAACTTTGCTTCTAATAATCAAAATGAACTAGGAGACAGTAAACTTCGTCATCAACATCGAGAAGTTGTTTGAGATTCTCTGGCAAAGTTACTTGCACTTTACATGCTCTTCAAACCTTGAAGTTATCGTTTGATTAAGAAAAACTTGGAACTCATCGTATGTGCAGCTTGTTTAGCTGCATTTAGGTGGGTCCTCCTCAAAATGATTATCTTGTCACATGTAAATGCCCAATTATACTCATCCACAATCAACATGGGTACGTTCGATGGTAAAATTCTTTTGTGTTTAGATGCATGAGATGAAAGGTTTTGGAGGAATAAAATAAGATGAAATTTTGAATGACTTCATAAACTTTTGTTTGTCTAGTTTAGTCAATCATGTTATTTAATTTTGCAGTTTGCTTGCGCTATTCTTTGTTTCCCACTAATGATAATTCCTTGCAGATCAAGAAATCAATCACTGTAGGAGTCATTGGTCTACCAAATGTTGGTAAAAGTAGCCTGATTAATAGCTTGAAGAGATCTCATGTAGTCAATGTAGGTGCTACTCCAGGATTAACAAGATCCCTGCAAGAAGTCCAGTTAGATAAGAATGTTAAATTGCTGGACTGCCCCGGTGTTGTGATGCTTAGGTCTGCATCTGAGGATGATGCATCTATTGCTCTTCGAAATTGCAAGAGGATAGAAAAGTTAGATGACCCAATTGGTCCTGGTAATTGGATTTTGTTTCCCATTTTTGCTTCTGATTCTATCTCTTTCAGTAGTATTGATGTATCTAATTGCTAGTTCTGTGGGTTTACAGTAAAGGAGATTCTCAAACTTTGTCCAGAAAGAATGTTGGTTACCATATACAAGATTCCTACCTTCGATTCTGTGGATGACTTTCTTCAGAAAGTTGCTATGGTTAGAGGTAAGCTCAAAAAGGGAGGAATCGTTGATACTGATGCAGCTGCAAGGATCGTTCTGCACGACTGGAATGAGGGTATGTGTGAATACCATTTAGTTTCCTTTTAAAGAATTAAACTTCCAAAATATGAGGGAGTTTCACGCTCATAGCTGAAGGTATCATATTATTAAAATTCTGATGTCCTATTGACACATTCCAGGGAAAGTTCCATACTACACCCTGCCCCCAACCAGGAATGAGGGGGAGCATTTAGAGGTCAAGATAGTTTCAGAATTTGGGAAAGAATTCAATATCGATGAAGTTTATGGAAGTGAATCCTCTATTATTGGAAGCCTGAAATCTGTCAACGATTTCAACCCAGTTGAAGTTCCATCAAATCGGCCCATTAACTTTGATGATAACATGCTTGAGGTAAGTGATTTCCCCATTATACTTCTAGGGATACTGTTTGTATTTAATCACTATTGTATTCCGTAATTGCTTTTGACAATTGCATCTGGTTTTGTGATTTAAAGGTTGCCTGCTTTGACTACTATAAGTTTTTTTTGTTTCAATTTCCCCCCAAGAACTCTGGTTATATACTTCATCTTTGAATGCTTTTTGAACCCAATTATCATAAAAAGCCATTTCTTTTTTTTCCCTCCATTTATGATCATAATTATCACATCTATTGTCAACTTCAATATTTTTCGAACAAAGTTTGAAGTATGTTTGCCTATTTACACATTCCAGGACAATTTGCAGCAGCCATTAGTTGAAAGCGATAATGCCACAGAAAACCTTGTTAGTGAGAACAGAGATGAGCCAATGGACTCGGGAGAAGGTGATGGAGCCCAGACAAGAGGCAAAAGTGCTAGTAGTAGACAAAATGAGAAGTTATACGGTGAGGAAGGCATGTTGAACACTAAACAGAAGAAAGCTGAGAAGAAAAGGAGGAAGAAAGACAAGCCCTCAACTGCCATTGATATGGACGGTGATTACGACTTTAAGGTAGATTATATCAAGAAGGATTCTGCTATGGATGATGCTGATGAAGTTGTTGCAACTGATGAAAGTAAGAACAACAGATTTGAGCTGCCATCTGGGTTTGAGTTGGATAATGAATGAAAGATAAACTCCCAGCTAGAAAATATGCTTAAAAATCACTTTTTGTGGTTGCTAAATTTTTGTTTGCCCTGTGAAATATATTTGATACCGGAGACCATCTTTTTTGTTGTACTAAATTTGAGTCAACTATATATCACGAGAAGCATTTTTTTCCATTGCATAGTTTCTTTCCTCAGTTTAGTTGTCTTATTAAGTTTCAGACGAAATATTTGAACGACTTATTTGTACGTCACAAATTTAGTCTCTCTGCTCTGTAGATTAGAAAATTTCTTGATGTGGTGATAGCTTTATCATCTATGTACAATTTTTTGGACCAGTAACACGAATCACAACATTGTACTAGATTTTATGAAGTTTTATTAATTATGTAGAGAGAAAAGGTACAATGTTTATGGTGAAATGGTATTCACAGATAGAGTTCTATTTCCTCTTCCACAAGTATCATACTGTTCCATTGGACAACTCTAACTAGGTATTTCATTACAAGGACGAATGCAATACAACTACAGTATCAATCTCCATTTGATATCCCTATCTCAGAGTCCTTGGCAGGCTGGGAATTTATGTTTGTCAGCGGCGGACTAGCTACGCTCCCAGAAGCTGAGGCTGCAGTTGCTGTCGATGTGTCTGCTTCATATGAGTTGGAAATAAGTCCTTGTGTTTCCATCGTCTCACGTGCTGCTTTCTCTTTGGCTTGTTTGGCTCTTTCAAGAATCTCCTCCTGTTTTTGCACAAACCATCGAGGTTACACATTTCTGGCAAAGTAGTCTATGAACTTTATTACTAAGTATTTTCTGGGTGGAAACAACTCTGGACATCCAGGAATCAAAAACAAGAATTTCATCATTACGATGCTTAGACTGTTATAACATATTAAAGATACGCAGGCTGATTGTGTGTATACCAAGAGGAAACCTTATTCAAAATTTTAGCCTTTTCTAATTTTACAGGTTTTGTTGTAGTTGTTGGTAAATGGCAATATAAAGCTATTAAATGTCATCATTGAATGAGGACCTTCAAAGTAAAATAAAACAAAATTTTCAAACCATTCATATTAATTAATCTAACTTAAAGCATCTAGTTTTCCACTTGAACTACTTAATACCTGGAAGTCCTGAACTTGCTTTTGTTGCTCCGATTGCAATCTGCCAACTGTACTTAGGAACTCCCCTACTGTAGACTCTATGCGCTCAGTAACTGCTTCTGCCAGAGCTTTACCTAAGAAGAACGCATCAAGGACATTCTTACTCTCATTTTCACCTGCAAGAGAGATGATTTTAGTTATTTTGAGTATATGCAGGGATCTAGCAAAGACTAATGAAACAACAAACTAGTGACTAATTTCATATTCAAAAGGAAACCCGATTACGCTCTCTGCGCACCCAACCAAACCAAAACAAGAGGAAAAAGAAAGTCTAGGGAAGCCAAAAAGAATTGGGAAGAATTAATGAAAGGTTTATTCTCAGTTCAAGTTACAAAGAAAGTCTCTTTGAACCGCTAATACAAATCATAAAAAAATGTGGGCTCTTCAAATGGAGCAAAAAGAAAATATAGGAAAACTGACTCCCCACCCCCACCCAAAAGGAAATGAAGAGGAACAAGAAGTGAAGAAATTGTGAAAAACAAAATGAATTTATTCCAAATGAAGGGAGATGTCCCAGGACAGAAGGACCGACAAATAGGAAAGAACTCCCAAGACAGAACACTGCAGTCAGCCGAAGTTTGCGGACACCAAATGAAAGAATGAGTAATTCTAACAGACCATTACGTAGAACTTGTAGATCGAGGAAGACGTAGGCCTTAAGGTGCTTCTCTTTTTCTGTTGAATATCTTGATGCTTCATTCTACTTGGTTACTTCGTGTGGTCACTATTAAATCTCCTCGATAATAGTCACAGTCATAGCTTCTAGGTTCAAGTTTATACATACCACTCTGACCAGCTGGCAGTCACATGCCTACCAAATAGGTACTACTTCAAGACAAGGTAGGGCATAGTTAATAATACAGTTCAAATGCTTCGACTATTACCCAACATCCATAGCTTATATATACCCTATGACTAGGCAGGATATACCATCACTCCTTCATATCACCTTTGCTAAACAATACTTTTCAGCATACAAGTAGCACAACACCATACCATATGAGTTTCAAGGACGGACATTAGAGCCAAATATGAGTAATGGGCAATATTCCTTACTAAATAAAAAAAAAGTATGATGATATAGCAGCAGAGAAATGATCAGAGACATAACCATAGCAGCCCAATTCAAGTTAGCCAATACAGTTTCTGAAGAAACAGCTATTCTTTGCACTTCCCTTTGTACCCAGTACCATGAAGCAAGTCCAAAACATAAGTGTAATGGATTCATCTATTATAAGTCGCTTCTCTGACTTATATTACACGATACCCTTTCCTTTTTAGTCTATCTTAAAAGAATGACATCTTTCTCTTTTTCTAAATTTGTTTAAATTAACATTCCCATTTTAACCTTAGTGACATGACTTGTGGACCCACTTGATATAAAGTTCATTCTTTCACAATGAGAGGGAAAAAGGAAGACATGTGAAACCCTAACTGAGCACTGATTTAATAGGATAAAATTAGGGTATTTCAAATATATTTGGCTTACATGTCGAACATCTTCTTCAATTTATTAAACTCCGTATCCGGTTAAACACCTACATATAACACAGGGGAGGAAATATTAGTTATGGAGATATCTTGAATAAGGAGATGGACGCGTTTGATAGTTAAAGTTCTATCTCTAGGAAGGAAGACACTATTGGGAAGCTAACTCTAGGTCGGGCTCAAAAGGAAGTCAAATCTAATATCTCGCAAGAACCTAAAAATTAAAACTAATCGATATGGACATGCAAAGTTTTTTTATTCTTTTCTTAATTCTCCAGGATCAATAGTGATTTTCTAGTTTTAGACAAGTTCCTTTGAAGTAGATATGACTACCAAGTATATCTGGTATTACTCCTCGAGACTCAAGGCCCAAACCGACCAGTTAGACAATTTGCAAAAGGAGAAACCATAACTTTTCATCATGGATACTAAAAGCAAGAGACTGGATCCAAGGACCAAGATCTTCAGTCGGTACGTTTTCAGTCACTGATGCCACATCAACAAGAAGTTTTGGGTCAGTAAGTGCACAATACCACAATACATCAACAGACCTACATTATGACTACAGGGTGCATGTGCACCCATAATTGGTAGCTCAAGAACAGAAATGAGTGTACTGTAAAAAAGGTGATACTAGAAAACGAGGTCCATCCTCAAAATGCACTCATGGAAGCACCTGGCAAGAAGCTAGTCCTTTGTTCTTTAATTGCAGACTAATAACAAGTTAAATTCAGGTCTTGCACATAGCAACCCTTTCTTTCTTTTCCTTGTGTCACTTTTATTTGGCACTCAAACTCTAATACGAAGGACTGCTCATCTAAAGTCTGAAAGCGAGAATTGATACACAAGTTATTCCTAATAGAGGATGTTCCAAGTATCATGGGTCAATAATCCAAGAAAACATGGAGATTGATGATGAAATTAGTCATCTAATTAGAGCGGGGTAGATGAATTGAAGGCTCACATCCGGTATCTTGTGTGATAAGAATGTGCCAACAAGACTTGGAGGTAACTTTTATAAAGTGTTTATAAGACAAACTGTGTTGTAAAGGGTGGATTGTTTTATAATGTGTTTGAGACAAACTATGTTATAAAAGGCGGATTGTTTTCCAGTCAAAAATTCGCGCATTCAAAAAATGGAAGTAGCGGATATGAGAATGTCGAGATGGATGCGTGCGCATATTAGGAAAGATGGAATTAAAAATGAAGATATTCGAGACAAAGTGAGGGTGACTTTCGTGGTGGACAAGATGAGGGAGGTAAAACTGAGATGGTTCAGGCATGTGAAGAGGAGATACACCAATGAGAAGGTGTGAAAGGTTGGCTATGGTGGGTATGAGGCGATGAGTTAGGCCAAAGAAATAGTGGGCCAGGATGATAAGACAAGACATGGCTCACTGGTAGCTTATAGATGATTATGGTAGAAAGTGAGCAGATAGTCGAACCTTGTCTAATTTTTCTTGTTAGTATTATTATTGTTATTCCTCTCCTACATTCTCATTAATAATGCTTCGATTATAACATCATTTGTTGTTTCTATTATTTTTCTTCTCATTTAATTTTAGCACTACTTCTTCATTATTCCATTTTCATTCGGTACTTGATTTTAATATTCTTTACTTAAGCTAAAGCTTAGTAAAAAACAATCTCTCTACCTTCACAAAGTTAGGAATAAATTTACATACACACCACACTCCCCATCCTCCACTAGTAAAATTACATTGTTGTTGTTGTACTTCATTAAACATGATTATTTGTGTTTAGTATACTCTACATATTAACTCATTTTTTTTCCAAGACTAAAACCCTTTCCATCCTTTCATTAACTTCAAACCCTACCACTACCACAACAATATACACCAGTACTTCCTTAAAAGGCAAAACACAAATACATGTTTAAAAAATTGTTGATAAAAATAGGACATACCAGGAGGAGGGTTGGAGCTGAAGTTACAAGTGAAATTGAGTGGTGCAACATTTCCGCTTCTGTTTGTGATTGGAAAAGAGGAATTCCATGGGGGAATGATGCAATTAGGTTGGAGCCGATGAGTATGAGCAGGAGCAGGAGCATACAGTGAGGAAATTGTGAATACCCCACTCATATTCTCAATTTCAGATCTGATTGATTTCACTGATAATTCGATGGGATTTTTTTTCTTCTTACATGTGGAGGCTGCTCTACTCATATGCTGCAAATTTGTTATTAACTTTATGCTACTAATATTTCTATTCATTATTTCCACTCTTTTTTTGGTAAGACAGTAGGTGGAGATATATTAAATAAAAAGGAAAAAAATATCTTCAAAAATTGAATAAATAATCTGTGTGATTAACATTTGAGTTAAAAAAATGTTCATATGGTTAACTTTTAGGTCAAAAGCATAATTTTTCGAATAAATATATTGTTTTTTCTTTAATTTCTTTAAAATACAATTCTAAAGAATTTTTTTCCCTTTATAGCTGTTTTTATCAATTAAAATAAAATTACGTTATATACTTTTTAAACTGATTATATAAATCATATAGATATAGGATTATAGTAACATTATTAGTATTTTTATTTAGATAATAATTTTAAAAATTCTAATAAGATAGAAAATATTTTGTATTTCTTAACATTTTTTAAATTAAAATTAGATAAACATTTGCTAATAACTCCTACTACAATTTTGTATTTCTTAACATTTGTTAAATTTAAGAGAGTTAACAATAACTCCTTCGTATTTTAAAGATATTTTTTTGCTTTGAAAAATGTAATAAACCTTTGTTTATTATAACATTATAATTGCTATATCTTAATTTTTATATTAGCAAATGCTTATACTTCTTCAATTATAGGAATATTAAGAAATAAAAATATATTCTAAATTTATCATTAAATAATAATTAATGATTGTTGTAATATGTTCTTCTGTATAGAAAAAAATAATGACGTGTTATAATATTTTTATGAAGAAAAAGTTGTGTTTAAAAAAAAGAAACAATAGTTGTGTTTGATGATAGGAGTCATGGAGGAGATAGTTGTGTTCGATTATTTTCAAATAAGATGTAACTTCAGTGGACTCTACAAAGTTAATTAGCCCTTTGTCTCAATTTCTCTAACATTTTTTAGATATCAAAATTTAAATAAGTCTATTTTTTTATCGTAAATATTTTTCATATATTTTTAAAATATTTTGAATTGTTAATTATTGTAACTTATAATACTTTTTACGTAGTTAATAAATAGAGTTTTTAGCCAAAAACATGTTTAACTATACCCTAAACTTAAACTACATCCTTAAAGTATCATTTTTCTAGCAGAAAACATTATTTACCTATACCCCAAACTTAAACTACATTCTTAAAGTATCATTCTTACCATAAAACATCCTTCAAGTATTATAAAGTGTTTGACTCTCAAAAAATGAAAAGTGTTATATAAATTGAGACATAGAGAATGTAAAATTTTAAAGTATTACATTTATTGCCTAATTTAGAAAAATTAAGAAACCTTTTAAAAATTTAAGAAATTGTATCTACGAAATCAATTAAATTCTATGCAAGAGTCTACGGTACTCCAAAGAAAAGTTATTAACACCTATCAGAGTCCACAACCACGGATCTCGATTGAACTCATTTTTTTTATTGAGAAGATAATTTTTTTTCATGAATATTTTTTTATTATCGGATGTCCCTGAAGAGACTTCCACGAATATAATAACCATTAAATATGTACATAGAATAAAGTAACGTATTAATGAAAGACGACCTAATATTTGTCTTACGCCTTAGCGTACACCAAGGACATGATCGACACTGAAGAACCATTTCTGATCCCACACGAATTCTTTGCATGACTGACTACTTAGCGGAAGATATACGCAAGCAATACCAAGCTTACAAATAGAATTTAGACGTTACAACTCAAGTAAATACTTAATTTTAACTGTCTAAAAATACTTAAGTTCAATTGTGATAATACTTTAAAAAACAGTCTCAAAACATCTCAACAAAAATGAACAATTATGAGAGACTCCTAACTATAACTATTTATGAAGCCTCTATAGTCCAAATACATGTTGAGACAAGACCCACAACATCCTAAAAAGACTAAAATGAAAAGGAAAAAGAGAAAATCATCCAGAATGCAAGGAAGCTCACCAAAGCTAATTGGAATGTCAAATGATCTTAATGAAGCGTCTGTTGATGATCCTGAACCTATATCTGTATCATTATAAGATGCAAGTCAAATGACATCAGTACATTGAATGTACAAAACTGAATGCATAAGTAACATAACTGACAAAACTAAAAGAGTACTCATTGCAGCTCAACTCAATACAAAAGCAATAACAAAGGGTAAAATGTTTAAAGCTTCAAAATAAACAGATACTAACTTAAGAATGTATATAAAAGTACAATAATTTACTCTTTTCTTTTATTTGGGAGATTCTCTAATCGAAAACCTTCACTATGAGCTATGTGATGATATAACGTCTCGTCTACGATACTAGAACTGTCCTATACCTTGTCGGGGTATAAAATACCTCAACTAAGTGATCCACTAAGATATGCTTGAAAGCAATAAGGAATCGTCTAAAAAGTAGATCCTTTACCGATGTTGACTACATAGTTTATGAGGAATGTGAGTTGTCTGAACTCATCTCCATATCGATGCTTAATTATTCCCATTAAATATATATAGTCATGCTCAAATATGTAAAACATGCTCTTTCTCAATTTGAGGTAATTACTCAAAAGGTCCTCTTAAAAGAGGTAACTGCTTTGAATCTCTCTAAACTCATTACTTTTTTAATAGAAATCAAAATTTCTTTCTCTTTTTCATTGTAAAAGTGTTACATTTGGAATACTAAGTCCCCTTATACCTTTTCTCAGTCATGAATAACACTCTTCTCAATATTCATCTTTGCTTACTCGTAAAATTAGTTTAAAACCATTATTGGTTACAAAAGATCATCAACAATAACTCAAAAACACTTCTTGAACTTTTCTCTTAGTTTTGCATGTGCATTAAGACACATGATTAGAACATGTAAGAATTCTCAAAAGTAAATGGAGCCTATAAAAGCTAACACAAAAAAGGGAAACATAGCCACGACTAAAAGGAAACACATTTGGAATGAAACACAAAAGGAATAGGCCAAGAGACCCCTGACGCCCGACACAAAATTAGTAGCCAAAGTTTGGGGGGCACTGCTGGCACGGGGCGCCAGCCCATAACGGTCGTGTGTGAACTCAATCTTCCCTTAAAAACTACCACTTCATGGTGAACAAAATGTTGTTCATCTTGTATTCCAAACATACTTAGAACAAAACTTTGAACATCTTTGTAAGACAACAAAGTTTAAGAACATTTTCACAACTAGAAAATTAAAACTAGTAGCGAAACTAGAATCAGAAATAGATTTAAAAAAAATATACGAAATATTTTTCTTAAAGAAGAATTGTTGTTAATATGTGTCTAATGAATCTTACTGATTCCAACAAACTTTGTAGAAACACGAAGTTACCAAGTTTAATGAACTAGTGAAAAACAAAAGAATAGAAGAACTGAAATTAATTAACAAATCTAAAATTTGTAAAACATGTACCAGAATCTGGAAAATTTTTAATGGGAAAAAGATCAAGTCCACTGAACTCACAATGTTTCCTTGAGGAAATTATTCCCCTCTAGTATCCGAGGTTTGATTTGGAATATGACCTCCCAGGGTAAAATGATCTCAATCACCAGAGTATAGATACCAAAAACTCCGGTGTCAATGGACCACTCAACGGCAGTAAAGTACACTTAGAATACTAAATTTAGTAGTTGAAAAAGAAGTCCATGAATTCTATATTAAAATGAGAGGAAATTCCTCAATTTATAGAAAACAAAGGGTAGTGCGAAAAAGTTCTTATTGTGCCTTAGCGGAAAGGTCACAAACCTTTGGAAAAGTCACAATGTTTCAGAATGGTCGTCACCTTTCACAAAAGTCACAACTTTTCATAAAAGTCGCAACATTTCATAAAAGTCACAACTCTTCATAAAAGTTGCAACTCTTCATTTTCCATTCACACCTTTTTAAAACCCAACACAAAATACCTCATTGTTGTAATCATTTTCATTTTCATTCTTAATTGGAGAGCATATTGAGAAATTTTAGTCATGTTTTGCATTCCTTTAAACATATATACACCATGCAAGTTCAAGTCGAATTATCATTCATAATGTAAATTTTACATCGATATTTGATTAACAATTCAATCCCAATAGGACGTCTACACAAAGTCAAAAAATGTGCAACACAAGTTAAACAATTACTGTAATATATAATAGTGCTACGAATAAGTAACTTAATCCAACCTTGCAAAGGAGCGTCAAAGATATCTCTTGTGAATAAAATAATACTGACTTGAGCTCTTGAGAGATATCAGGTTAGTGGCCAACCTTGAGGTAGCTTTACGAAAACATCAATTCCATCTACCATATGAGCAACTATTGTGTCTTCTCAAGTCATAAAACTAGTTTTTGGGAATGTGCGCTGCACGTTTGTTCCTTACAATTACTATAAGATTTTTTTTATATATTTAAAAAAATATTAAATTTCAGAATAGAAAAATATATGTGTATTTCTCGCTACTTAGCATAAATATTTGTAAATGATTAAATACAATTGCAATATATATCTATATATAGTTATTTCATAAAATTAATCAAAAGAAAAGGAACATAACACCATTAAAACTTAACATCAAATGGACAATCTGACAATCATATCAAATATTTTTAAGAAATTGTATCATTTTAATACATAAATTTCACATGAATTATTAGTTATGAAAATGTTACATAATATTTGAAGAGAATATACAAAAGTTTATCAATATCCATACATTATTATTATAGCATCACAATAAATTATATAGCTTCAGATGTATATTATGTTCATCCACAAATATTCGAAAATAAGATGAAATAGAGTAGACTAAAAATAATAAAATAGCTAATGAATTCTAAAACTTTTAAATAAAAAAAATAAAAGAGAAACAATTCTAGTTTAAAAGAATGGAGGAACTTCCTCAATAACTAACAAAGCATAAATAGATTTACCACTTTTTCGTTCCATGTGATGAGCAATTACATTCATCAACAATTATAAATTAGAATAACTAAGTGTATGCATCCATTAACATAAAGTGATTGTGATGAGCAATATAATTACACCAT